AATTGTGATACAGACATATTTTTCCCAATATTCCTTATTTTAAGAAATCAAGATGTCTTAGAGAAATAACTAACTACAATTCTGGGACAGGAAATGTACAAGATAAGCTTGGAACATCTTGTCATAAAAGATAGGGAAGGAGCTTTCAAAGACCACTGGGGTCATAGCAAAAGCCAATTTGAAGATGTTTTCAGTAGCCAATTTGGCTTCACAGAGGATAACTGACAGTAGTAACAAGTCCATCCAACACCCAAATCTTGGCTTCTAATACCATCCTCTAATAAATGAATCAAGACTCCTTGGAGAAATAGCTGATTCTAGGGCTGGGGTGGGGAATATACAAGATTAGCCTTGAGCATCTTGTTGTCAGTTTATAGTGCACATATGATGGGATTATATCCTGATAAAGCCATTGTAAGTTGAAAATATTGTAAGTTGAAAATGCATTTGCTATACCTAACCTACCCAACATCATAGCTTAAGCTAGCCTACCTTTGACCTGCTCAGAACACCTACATTAGCCCACAGTTGGGCAAAATCATCTAACACAAAGCCTGTTTTATGCTAAAATATTGAATATCTCAGAATATGAAGTATGATTTTTACTGAATGCATATGACTTTCATACCATCATAAAGTTGAAAAATCTTAACTCAGGGCTCTCTGTACTAGAAAACAAGAGCTCAGAAAACTATTGGAGTTTTAAAGGAACGCAAGAGTCGGCTGAACACAGGCCAAAACTGGGAGGCCTTGGGCAGGAAAGTAAATTTAACAGTATTGGATTATCACACAAGGAATAAAATGAACGCACACCAGTCCGTTGTGATAGAAATAGGTAATTGAATAAGTAAATAAATGAGAGAGAAGAGACAAGTCTTCCCCTACAGAAAAACTTCAAATAATTTTATGTAGATACTCCTGCTTCAAGAAGGTGTAGCATGACTGTTCACCCTATAAGTGTGGGCTGTGCTTACTGGCTTGCTTCCAGAGACTGCAACGTCGAAGGAGGGAGGAGAAGTAACTTTAATTGGAAACCTACAAATACCACTTTGGTCGGGTGATCAGGGCTATTATCAGTGTGAAGTCAGGTTGTTGTATATATAGTATTGTCCTCCAAACCCTATAACTGTAGTTCTGTAAAAAATAGGCAACCCAAACTGAGGGACATCCTACAAAATACCTGACAAGTACTCTTCAAAACTGTCCAGGTCATCAGAATGAAGGAAAGTCTGAGAAAGAGCCTAGAGGAGACTAAGGAGACAAACAACAAAATGTACTGTGGTATCCTGGATAGGATCCTGGAACGGAAAAGGGACATTAGGTAAAACCTAAGGACATTTGAATAATGTATGGACTTTAGTTGTTAATAATGTATTAGTATTGGTTCATTAGTTGTATCACAGAAACTATTAATATAAGATGTTAATAATAAGAAACTGGGTGTGCTTATGTGGGAACTTGGTGCTATTTTCTCAATTTTTCTGTAAATTGAAAACCTCTAAAGTTAAAAGGTTGATTTATACAGTTTTTTAAAACAGTAATTGTGGGCCAGCATGGTGGCTCATGCCTGTAATCCCAGCACTTTGGGAGGCCGAGGCGGGTGGATCACTTGAAGTCAGGAGTTCAAGACCAGCCTGACCCACATGGTGAAACCCCCATCTCTGCTAAAAATACAAAAATTAGCCAGGCGTGGTGGCACATGCCTGTAATCCCAGCTACTCAAGAGACTGAGGTAGGAGAATCACTTGAGCCTGGGAGGTGGAGCTTGCAGTGAGCCAAGATTGCACTGCACCACTCCACTCCAGCCTGGGCAGGAGTGAGACTCCTTTGTCTCAAAAATAATAATAATAATTGCAACTGGTTGAAACTCATCAAATATGTTTAAATCTGTGAGTTCATATTTTTTTTAATTTATGGGGTCTCACTCAGCCCAGGCTGTGCTCAAGCAATCCTCTTGCCTCAGCCTCCCAAGTAGGTGAGACTACAGGCATGCACTACCATGCCTGGCAGATTTTTTAAGTTTTTTTCTTTTATAATTTTTTGAGCCAATATAAGTATCATTCTTTTTTTTTCTTTTTTCTTTTTTCTTTTGGTAGAGACAGGGTCTCGCCATCTTACTTAGGATGATCTTGAACTCCTGGGTTCAAGCAGTCCTCCCACCTCGGCCTCTCAAAGGGCTGGGATTACAGGTGTGAGCCACTGTGCCTGGCCCATAATTATATGATAAAACAAAACCAAATTGTAACCCATTATCTTGAGAAATGGTAAATAAAGGAGGAGTCAAGTATTTTATCTTTTCTACTAGGTAACCAAATAGTTGATGAGGGGAAGGCTCTCTTTGTAAAAGTATTTCAGTTAATTTAAAAAAGTTGAAATTGGCCGGGCACGGTGGCTTGTGCCCGTAATCCCAGCACTTTGGGAGGCCAAGGTGGGCAGATCACAAGGTCAAGAGATCGAGACCATCCTGGCCAACATGGTGAAACCACATCTCTACTAAAAATACAAAAATTAGCTGGGCATGCTGGCACATACCTGTAGTCCCAGCTACTCGGGATGCTGAGGCAGGAGAATCATTTGAACCCAGGAGGCGGAGGTTGCAGTGAGCCAATATCACACCACTGCACTCCAGCCTGGTGACAGGGTAAGACTGTGTCTCCAAAAAAAAAAAAAAGTTAAAATTAAGGTTATCACCTTTTTGAAATCCCCCAGTAAATGAATGGTTCTCAGCATTGAACATCAATACCTCCTAACATTACAGTGAGACAGAGATATTTACATGCCTCCTGATGAAGGAATGCAGCACCACGTATAGTTATTCATGCCGAAAGGATCAAATTTGAGTCAGATCAAGCCTCTGTATTCAGTTGCCAATCTGCAGAAAATACAGGAGGACATGTTAAGACTGCATCATGAGTATGCAATCAGCAAAATCCAGTCTTTGGGAAACAAACTCTCCAGGTCATATGCCCCAACTTCTTCAACAGATAATTTGAAAGAAAGGGATAGAGGGGGAACCTACAGATTTAAAAGATACCAAAACATTTTTAAATAGGCAAGACTAACCTCAAAAATATGATGCCTGGCTGGGCGTGGTGGCTCACGCCTGTAATCCCAGCACTTTGGGAGGCCAAGGCAGGCAGATCGCTTGAGGTCAGGAGTTCAAGACCAGCCTGGCCAAAATGGTGAAACCCTGTCTCTACTAAAAATACAAAAATTAGCCAAATATGGTGGCAGGTGCCTGTAATCCCAGCTACTCAGGAAACTGAGGCAGTAGAATTACTTGAACCCAGGAGGTGGAGGTTGCAGTGAGCCGAGATTGCATCACTGTACTCCAGCCTGGGAGACAGCAAGACTGTCTCAAAAAAAAAAAAAAAAAAAAAAAAAAAAAAAAAAAAAAAAAAAAAAAAAAAAAAAAAGTGATGCTAAGTGAAAGAAGTCAACCACAAAAGATCGCAGATTCCATGATTTTGATTCCATGTATATGAAATGTACAGAATAGGCAAATCTATGGAGACAGAAAGTAAATTCATGGGCTCGGAGCTGAGGGCAGGGAGGAAAGGAATGGGAATTAACTGTAAATGGACACAAGGGATCTTTTGGGGTTATAGAATTGTTTCAATTGGATTGTGGTGATAGTGGCACAACTCTACTAAAAAAATACATTTAGTAAAAAATGGATGTACAAATGGACAATTACAGTGTCTAGTGATGTACACTTGGGTAATAAAGCTATAATAAACTCTAGGAAGTTATTACTATAAAAAGCAGTATAGTGGTTACTTTTGCCAGGGGGAGGAGAGTTGATTTGTATAATGCACACAGAGAGGCTTTTGGGATGGATACAGGAGATCTGTTTCCACCTGAGTGGAAGCTATAAGGCCTCTTTATAAAAATTTGTTTTCTATGTACTTGTATGGTTTCTACCATCTTTTATTTTATAATAAAGGGTTTTAAAGAAATGAACCAGGCAAGGTGGCTCACGCCTGTAACCCCAGCACTTTAGGATATCCAAGACCAGCCTGGGCAACATAGGGGAAGACCTTGTCTCTACAAAAAATATAAAAATTAGCCAAATGTGGTGGTTCATGCCTGTGGTTCCAGCTACTCTGGAGGCTGAGGCAGGAGGATGACTTGAGCCCAGAAGTTTGAGGCTGCAGTGAGCCGTGATCACACCACTGCACTCTAGCCTAGGCAACAGAGAGAAGCCCTATCTCAAAAAAGGAAAATACAAGACTCCTGAGCTGTTAGAAGATATCAGATCCCCACACATTTCATTCATAATAATGAGACTATTTCTCATGGGCAAACTCAGAGTAGCCAGGAAAATGCTGCTTTATCTCACAAAAGAAAAAAATGCAAAAGAGATGCAGCAGTTGGTTTAATTTCTTTTGGGTGTACACTGCATGATAAGTGCCATTTGGACCTCAGAACCTATTTATTTCAAGCACTGCAAAATAATACATAGGCATTCTTTTCTGGTAGGTTCAACTGCCCTGTGATTTTCAGTTTTATGCACAAAAAAATTGTATGACTATAGTAAAGGAAATGGATGGAGGAGGAAACATCAACTGCAATCCCACCCCCACCCCCCACCCCAGCAACTCACAAATCACAAATTCATAAATATTTTTTACTTTCGTGTTTTTGGAATGCTGGTGGTGTTTGGTGGTGGTGGTAGTGTTGTGTTTTGGGACCGGGGCGTGTTGGCCATTTTTGTAAGAATTCTCTTCCAAAATAGAATTCATTCTGAGGGGCACCTTTTATGATTTTTGCCTTGTGGAAACCGCTCAGAGCATCCTTTGGTACTATTTTTTAACATGCGATATATTAGGTAATGCAAGTGCTCTCCTCGCTTCCGCCGGGCCCAGGGTAGGCAGCTGGCTGTATTCCTGTTCTCATTGCATGTGGTTGTGCTCAGAGTGGAACTGAGGCCCCTGACGTTACTTATTAACATTCCCTCAATTTCTCACCTCCCTTTCTAATTTTTCCACTTTTAGAAGAAGAATTCAGAAAAGCAGCTCAGCAACAGGAAAATCAAGAAAAAAAAGAGGAAGACGATGATGAACAAACGCTGTACAGAGCTCGGGAGTGGGATGACTGGAAGGACACCCATCCTAGGGGCTATGGCAACCGACAGAACATGGGCTGATCTTCCCACAACACCACAGGACTGCAGGGTGCACACCTCCCCCCGCCAAGAAAAATCATGCAGTCCTCCCCTCCCTGGGCTCCGGCCTCAGCTAGGTACAACAAAGGCAAAGATGCTAAATCTTGCTTTGCATTCAATAAAGTGTCAAGTGATTAAGTGTGTATTTGTATCCTAGGTGATGTGAACCAGCAGTCTTGTTTTGGCATCATCATCCTCATCATGTTGTATTCTAATTTCTTAGGTAGAAAGAAGAGTGCTGAGAAATGGCTCTGTATAATCAATGGCTGTCTGAATTCTCTGAAAAAATAAAAGTCCCCTCTATTACATGAGCCTGTGCAGAAATATGGCTATCAGCTGCTTTTTTTGATGGGGGAGTGGGGGCATTGAGCTGTGGGTCTCTGGGCCTATGGAGAAATGCCCTTTGATGTGGGCAGTGAATTTGTCCAGCATCAGATCTGCGCAGGCATTCTTCCTACTGGGCATATGATATGAAGCCATATAAGTAACACCCTGCACCATGAAGCAATCCAGCACTCTATAAGGGGAGAGCTTTCTGTGCCACACAGTGCTATTTTCAGAAACTATAGCTGTAGGTAAGTGGACCGCAAAGGGATGTAGTCTACTTCCTGGTCCTATCTACCTCGTCCTAGCTTGGCAAGAAGAAATGAGAGATACAGAGGAGGAGACACAGAGTCCTCCTTGTGTGTGTATCTGAGGCCAGGGCCTTTACTGTCATGCAAACATTACCATATATCCCTTAGGGTGAAGAGCAGCCTCAGGCCAAAGCCTAACTTTTTTTTGAGACAAGTCTCTGTTGCCCAGGCTGGAGTGGAACGGTGCAATCTTGGCTCACTACAACCTCTGCCTTCCCGGTTCAAACGATTCTCCTGCCTCAGCCTCCCAAGTAGCTGGTGGTATAGGCGCCCACCACCACACCCAGCTAATTTTTGCATTTTTAGTAGAGATGAGTCCTTACCATGTTGGTCAGGCTGGTCTCAAACTCAACCTCAGGTGATCCACCTGCCTCGGCCTTGAAAGTGCTGGGACTGTAGGCATGAGCCATCGCGCCTGGCCAGCCTAATTCCAATTGGTCCTTATTGCCTATGCTGGGAGATACCTGGCACAATCCAAACGGCCTGGGTAAATGTGCCACGGTGGTCATTTGGCTGCTTAGTGAGGTGCCTGCAATCACGCAGATAGTGGGTGTGGAGGAGGGGGACAGTACAGATGACACTGCAGGGCACCTACTTTCTGGGGAAGAGAGAAGACAGTGTCCTCAGTTCTTGCTTTGGTATCCTATAAAAGCAGCCATGTGTTGAAACAAATGATCTGCACAGAAAGCATACTTCTGCGGCTTTGTTACACGGGTTTTCTTTTAAGAGGAAGATGACTCAGCCCTCCAGCTTCTGCAGTCTAGCTTAGGAGAGGGGTTTGAAAAGGAGACTCAGTTCCCTCGTTTATAGGGTGGTTAGTGGAGGGCTGTCAGGTGATGAGGGGGAGGTTGTGTTTCGTGGGAGATGATAGAAGACTACCGATAATCTATTTGTATACTGCTTAATGAGAGGAGTCATCTCACCCTCACAACATAAGCTCCTGAAACTGGGAGAGCACAGATTAAAGTCCCCAAAGATTTGGAAAGCATCATTTTCCGCTCTCTTTCAATGGTTCCCAGCCTGCCTCTAGCAATGCCCTATTTCTTTGCTCTTGAAACTCCACCCTGCGTTTATTCTCAAATGGGCCAAGTTGGAGTTACCTCCTTGGTCGAAGTCCCTTTAAGATTGGGCCTTCCAGAGGGTCCAGCTCAATTAAACCCCTTCATACATTCTGATATTTAAGAGACAGACCAGACAAGGTGGGTTTGAATTCTGGCTTTAAAAATTGCAGGCTGACAGAAAGAGAAACTCTCGCTAATTGGTGGAAGCTAACAAAACAATTGAACTCAGAGAGATAGAGAGTAGAAGGTTGGTTACCAGAGACTGGGAAGGGTACTGGAGGGAGGGGTTGGGGGGGTGGGGATGGTTAATGGATACAAAAATATATAATGAATAAGACCTATTTGATAGCACGACAGGGTGACTATAGTCAATAATTTAATTGCACATTTAAAAATAAAAGTGTATAATTTTTAACACAAAGGAGAAATGCTTAAGGGGATAGCTATCCCATTTTTCATGATGTGATTGTTATGCATTGCATGCCTGTATCAAAACATCTCAGGTACCCCATAAACATATACACCTGTAGCAGGAGCAGCCGCGAGAAACAGAGATCTCGAACACCGAATGGGAAGGAAAAGGGGTTTATTACGTCTGGGAGCCGAGCGATGATGTGTCTAAAACCCAGCTCGTTCAACAAAGGAAGATTCTGCCTTTATATAGGCTTACACTCTAGATATTACACATGGAAGAATCTTAAGTTTATAGCCTTAGATATCACGAGTGAAAAGGGTTTTGGATTTACAGCTTTAGGAACCACATGTGAAAAGGCTTCTGAGTTNTAGCTATCCCATTTTTCATGATGTGATTGTTATGCATTGCATGCCTGTATCAAAACATCTCAGGTACCCCATAAACATATACACCTGTAGCAGGAACAGCCGCGAGGGACAGAGAGCTCTAATACTGAATAGGAAGGAAAAGGGGATTATTATTTCTGCGGGCCGAGCAATGATGTGTCTAAAACCCAGCTCGTTTAACAAAGGAAGGTTCTGCCTTTATATAGGCTTACGCTCTAGATATTACATGTGGAAGAATCTTAAGTTTATAGCCTTAGATATCACGAGTGAAAAGGGTTTTGGATTTACAGCTTTAGGAACCACATGTGAAAAGGCTTCTGAGTTTACAGCTTTAGAAATCACATATGAAAGCGTTCTTGTCCCTGGACTGAGGAGTCGGGTGGGGGTTTGATCTTGTTTTAAGTAAAAACAGTGTCTTCCGGAAAGTTTCCCCAATACCAAGCGTGTTATTTACAGGAAGGTGGATCAGGAGGCGCCAGCTGGCCTGCTTTTTTCTTCTATTGAAATGCATTGTGGAAGTCCAGGGGGAGGTGATCCCAGATGCCTGGATCTCCTTCCTCACACCTACTATGCACCCCCAAAACAAGAAAATTAAAAATTGCAGGCCGTGTGATGTGACCTTGGGCGATAAAAGTCTGAACTGCCTTTTCTTCGGCCTGTGAGGATTAAATGAATAATGGCACCTATTATAATAAACTCAGGCAACTAAAGAGTAAGTGCTTTCCGTTAGCTCAGGTGACTACAGTCTGTCCATGAGAAGGGAAAGCAAATGGACAGATATCGGGCCCCTAGTATGTGCCAGGCACTTTCCCACACTGTTAATACAAGGACCCTGCGAAATTGATTTAAGTTCACACTGGTAAGATGTTATGCTACTGTCATTTTCCATGTGCTTCCCAATTGCTTGTGCTTTTAGCTGTGTCTTAAAGCTGCTTCAAAGAAGAGCAGCTTTAAAAATCTAAACTAAAACAACTATGTCTACATCACTGGAGCTCTAGAAATTCCTTCTTAGCTGACTCACCAAAGAAAAGGTTATGCCAGCTCCCCCGCCACTGCCCCCTCAGCTGGGGAATAAGAAGACGGAGGTGGTGAGCAAGCCCATCTTCCTCCATTTTCCTTCCCTGTTCTGTCTGCCTGACTGCCAGAGAAACCAAAAAAGCACCACCTTCACTACTCCCACCAGAGGCAAGTTCCTTCAGGGTCCTAGAGTGAGCTGGGTTTGGTGGATTCCCAGAAGCAAAGACTCCTTAAAGCTCTCAATGATAGTACTGTTTCATAGTTTGCGAAACACTTTCACATATGCTGCTTATTTCATTCTCACAACCTGTCAAGCAAGATCTGATATCTTCACACAGCTAAGAAGTAGAGCGCGCAAACAGATCAGCTTAGCCAAAGCATTTGCTCTCTGTGGCCCTCACGGGGAGGCCAATTAGATTTGAAAAAGGAGAATGCCAGGCACTGTTTCCTTTAATGCCGTTACACACTGATTTGTCCTTTCCACTCTTGTTCCTCTCAACACCCCTGTGAGAAAAGGCAAGGGGAGAAATGAACTGACTTCAAACCTAAGTCAAAGTCTCAGTTCTGGGGGCTCTGCTGCTCCCAAGCTGAGTGGCCCCAGGCAAAGTCTTCTATCATTTGACACAACTTGAAAAGGGGAAAACCACCTCTCTGTGTCACTCACACCCCAGAAAGTCCTCCTCCGCTGACCCTGGGCCTGCAGTTTGCTCATCAGCACAACAGGAGCATTGCCACCCGTCTCTGCTGGGCATACTACAACAATAGGGTATTGTTATCACCATCCCCTTGCAAAACAGCTGTCCCCAAAACTTGTGCATCATTTTCCTCACAGATTCCTTTTAACCCACTCCTCCAAGGTGCAAGTCAACAGGGCATGGTTCACTTCTGTTCCATCACAAGGTGACGTTGGTTCTAATACCAGCTCTGTCACTGTCTTAGCCCCTCTGAGATGTAGCCAATGTCTTCCCTACTTACCTCACAGGCCAGGGTAGGGAGCAAAGGAAATCAAATAGGCAAAAGCACTTTGACCAGTTATGACATGACACAAGAGTGAGGAGTAAGAGCAGGAGGCTGTTGGTAAGCTGGAGGGATGGAGGAGGGGATGCTCTTTTTTTCATTAAAAATTTTTGTAATAGAGATGGGGTCTCCCTGTGTTGCCCAGGCTGGTCTCAAACTCCTGGGTTAAAGCGATCCTCCTGCCTCAGTCTTCCAAGTAACTGAGATTACAGGTGTATACCACCATACCCTGATGAGTTTTGTATTTTTTGTAGAGATGAGTTTTCACCATGTTGCCCAGGCTGGTCTTGAACTCCTGGGCTCAAGTGATCTTCCTGCTTGGCCTCTGAAAGTGCTGGGATTACAGGCATGAGCCGCTGAGCCTGGCCTTTTTTTTTTTTTTAAGTCAGCTGTTCCTGACTTCATTTTAACCCTTGCTCCTCCAATGCTTCCTCAATCAATCTTCTAGATGTCGCCACCAGCCAAAAGGTGACATGCTTTTTTTCAAATGCTGAAATGACCAGCAAAACAGAGAACTATGAACAATGAAAACTGAGAACCAGTTTTTACGTAACTGACTGCCAGGCCACCTTTGGCAAATGTATATGAAAAGACGATGGGCAAAGTCTTAGATTTCAGTGTCTTGTTCCAACTGGCAACAAATCCTCCAAAGAGAGCAGAATTGAGCAATGTCTTAGGCCAGCCTAGTCCAGCATGGTAGCAGGAATAAAAATTATGGCTACTGTGTATTAAGCACCTACTACATACTAGGAGCTTTACACACTATATTTCTGATCCTCACAACACCCAAGGT